ACACAGCTCAGGACCACCCAGAGGACATTTGCTCTTCCTCTGTTCTTGGTAATTGGGTGGGATATGATCAACATTCATGGTTTTTGCAGTAGCAGCTAAATTTAAATTTTTGAGGCAGATTTTCCCCTCTTCACACCATTTCAAGCTTCTGGCTGGCTCTCCCCAGTCCACCTTCACCCCCACCATTTTCTGTGCTTTCTCCTTACTTCCTGCATTGCTGCCTTAAGCAGGGCTATAAAAAGCTGGCAGAGCCATAAGGTAAGAGGGGGGCTGCAGCAGACATGTGCTACATTTCAGCAATGGACAATAGTCATATAAAGTTGAAGGCCAAACGTAAGGTAAGAACAGGTGTAGGGTCTGTGTTGAAGTGTAAGCACTATTTGGTCGCAGTTTGGATGTTAAAAACTGTACTAGATAATGAGGCACTTTTCAGCAGAAAGTTTTTTTTATTTTCCTTTCAGTGAAATGTTATGATTTAAATGAGGGAGTGCAGACTTCTAAACTCCTGTCTATTGCAGCATCAGAAAGATGCCATATATCAGACAGGTGAGCTAGGTAAGAAAACACAGTGTGATCTAAAAACAAAATTAAGGATGGCTGTACATGGAGTGAAACTGTGTCTAGTGCAAAAAAAAAACAAAAAACAACCAACCCTGCATTTCCTTTGTCAGGGACTACAGGTGAGCTTGTTCGGGAGGTTGTGTTTGGGTTGTTTTGTCTCTTCCCCTCTTCCCCCAGTCTGTTCTCCTGTGGGCAGTTATTTTCAGAACACTCAAACGACAATCCAAAGAACTAAGTTTGTTTATTTTTTTTTTGTAAATGCAGTCTTATTGTCTACATAACTCTCTTAGCAATGACGTTTTTTTGAAAGAGAGTAGATCTCAAGATTCTTAAAAGCCTTGCCTTATAGAATGAGTTTCTGCTAGCTTTGACCTTCAGGATATTTTTTTTTTTAATTGGCTTTCCTAGAAGGAAAATAAACTGGAAGCGATGAAAAAATACCATTTTTTGTTGATAGTATTTACCTTTCCTATTGCGGGTGACTAAGGAGAGCTCTGAAACAAAAGCAGAGAGGGCTAGTGGGTTGGTGACAAGGAAGAGTTTAAGGACGTCTCCTCTCAGCCTCTGCCCAGGACAGTTCATGGTATTTGCAGGTTGGTCGGGTTTTTTTTGCTGTTGTTGAGACAATGAGCTGGAAAGTCAGAATAGGCAGAAGGCGGCTTCAATCTTGATTAATGGTGTTTTGGGTGTCAGGTGCTGGATGTATGCTGGTGGAAATCTTGTTATGCAAGTAAGTGTATTAACCTATTTTAATTGCTTTCATTAAAAAAAATGTTTAAAAAATCATAAATACTATAGGCTGCAAACAACATAAGATAAAGCAAATAGTACTATAATAGATACATTCATATGTTAAATCAACTATATACTGCTATAGGCTAGAAATTAATAATTTTTAGGAAAGTTAATAAGTAATTCCAAAGAGATGTTGTGTTACTAAGCCTCTTCTAGACTAACAATTTGAATTGTTCAGCAATGATCTCTTCAGTACTTGTGTCATGACAGCAGATATCTGAAATGTTACTGAGCCAGTCACTCGCCATTCCCTTGATGAGTGACACAGTGAGCAGGAGCAATTATCTCCCAAATTTAGTTGTTCTTTTGTTCTCAAACTGCTGTGTATTTCCCCAAAATATTAACTGAATGGCTTCTAAACAATCAAACCTCAGTCTTGCGAAAGTGCTTGCATGCTATTCTGTTCAGCTATGTTGCTCTGTCCTTGTGGTGTGCAACAAACTGCCTGTGCCTTTTGTTTTTGTTCCTAGATTAAATCTCTGCAGGCTTTGGCAGGCTCAAACTCTGTTGAAGTTACTGACCTCTGAAGATGCTCACAACTTTATTACATTGTTGGTAAAGGTGTTAGAATTTGCAAAGCTCTACCCACCAAATATTGCAAACAACAGTAGCAAAACCTTTTCACTTTGATCAAACACTCGTGCAACTTGGAGACCACTCCATCCTCCAAATGCACATCTGTTTGAGCAAAGCATTACCAGAAACAAGTAAGAAGGATATTGAGACCATTGCTTAATAACCACAGCCATTATTTTACAATATTTATTGAGCTCTGCAGGGGTTTTCCTGGGATAAGAACTTGGCTGGGCTTAGTAGGAATATTTTCAGTTGTGTCATATGGATTGTTTCGTGTTATTAGAGCTGAATGCTGTTATCTGCCATTTTGGAATTGCTAGTTATAGGTATGGCAGCAATGCACTTGTATGCTGTAACCTATAGCAAAATGCCATGTAATTTGAATACCCACGGTGAGTCTCGCTGTTATGTATCGCAATCCAGGGAGTGTGTCTAGGCACCTTTCCTATGTAACCTGGTTGATTGAACATTATGCATCCAGGCACATCATATTCAAAAATTATTCTTGGATGTTTATGTGTAAATTGTCCCAAGAGAAGTATATAGATACTTGCTATTTAAACCAGTTCCATAGAAATGACACATTGATGACCTTCATGTGTTTTACCAAAACTCAGCCTACACAGTGCACTGAGAGACAAGTACAATCAGGTGCTTTTTCTTGTACAGCTAAAATACATGTTTGGGTTTTTTTCCAAGAGATTTGCATATCTTTCCAGAAAGAACTACTCTTCTTAAGCAGCAGGTAAGGAAAAGAATATACATAAAATATCTGGGGAGGAATGGAAAAGGACATTTAATATATTTAATCTTATTATACATTTTTCTACATTAAAGTCAACAGGCTGCAAATATATTCTGCTACAAAGCTTTGTGTAAGAAATATCTCTATAAGAAAATACATCTCATTAAACATTTCCTGTAAATAAATTATCCCAAATAACTATGTTTTACAAGAGGAAAACAGAGAGAGGGGTAGGTCAATAATAAGATGAGCTAAAAATTGCTGAGAGCCCATTTCTGCAACCCCTCCCCACCCCCACTCACGCTGGGTACCATTTTCTTCAATATGCAGTCTCAATGAGAGCACTAGAGTTCCTCTGCTGACTATGTGCTGTGTCAGTGTAAATAACACTTGCAAAATTTGTTCCTGTACTTTTAAGTATCTTGAAATAATGCTATTTCTGAGCCTTATTCTTGTCTAAGTTACACTGGAAAAACTCTGAAATACGCAGAGCTGCAATGGATAGGACTATAAGATAAAACTCTGTGTGAGACTATTGAAAAAAACCCAGAAGACTGTTTCTGAGCAGTCCCTCTAGGTCAATAAAAACCAACTGCAGCAGGGGAAGAGGTGTGTGAAACACTCTGCTTGTTTACACTCTTACGAAGATGAAGGCAATGAGGCTGAGGTCTGTGTTCTAACTGGGAAGTCTGAGTCAGGTGGGGTAGCCAAGCTGTGGCTTTAAAACAACCACCACTGGTGGAGACTTCTCAGTGGAAAAAGGTATCTTAGGTATGGGTGACATGGTCTTCAAAGTTAGACTGCATACTGGTGTACCCGCATTGTTCAGAACTAATTAAACTGAAAAGTCCCTTGTAATACAAAGCATGAAAATGGGTCATTATAAATGGGTAATTACAACTTAGCAGTAGGTCAATTATAGAATCAGACTTCTTTAAAGAAATATCAGTCTCTTTACTGATGTCTATACAAAGGAATACTTGCAAATAAGTAAAATGAAAAAAGTTTGAAAAGACCTGGGAAACAAGTCAAGGGATAGAGGTTGTCCTTCTTTTAACCAGTACACAAACAACGTAGCATTGTCAGCTGTTTCCACGGTCCATGTACGTCCATCCTTCCTGGCAGAACAGTCCAGACTGAACACACGCTGAAGGCTGGTGTGCTGTGACAGTGCATGATGTTTAATAAGTCATTGGCAACCTTACCATCGTCTTACATCCTTTTCTGCAGGAGAGGAGGTGCTCACAAGAGCCGACTGCTTTTTCTTTGCTGCCTCTAAGAAACAAATGTATTATACTTCTGCAGAGTGCCAGCAGTAGCTCGTTACTACAAACAAATTGTAAAAATTTCAGTTTGCAGCAGTACGCTCTAAACACCTCAACAAATGTCTACATCATCTGTTGTAACAGCAACAGTGACACAACTTCTTCACCCTTTGCGTTAGGCACTTCAACACTCTCCTGTTTCTTTTAGAAACATCCATAATGCAAGTATGCTTAGGCACAGAAAGTATATTTGGGAATAATGAGCAACTGCCTGTACATTATTCTGGATTCAGCATGCACGTATTTGCTTCATCTGTTCAACCCAATGCATACTAGCAGTAAACTGAGGCAAATACAAGCAATTAAGAGCCATACTATGACACTGAACTACATAAAGCATTTCAATTTACCTACGTATAGGAAAGAAAACACTATTTAAATGCCTCCTTTTAGAGAAACTGCTGCTCTCTCAAAATTGTGAGATGGCAAGTTTTCACCTCCTTCATGAAAGCCTGCAAAACATAGCACTCTTGTCCTGCAGGAGTGCCGTATTTGCTGAAGTCTCAGCCCTGAATGACAAGGGCATGTAGACATTCACATTAACTTTATTTCCATTTCTCACACCTGCGATGTGACCAATGTGTTGACAGATGAGTCTTGCTGGCATGCTCTGCTTCCTATAGGAGTACAATGTATACAGTTTATTTAGCAGTCATTACTGCTCTGGAAACCCACTGCAGCCCTAACACCGAGCCCCTGAAACAGCACAGGACAACACAGCAAGGTAAGTGACATTAATTTCCACTGTATTTGTTTGCATACTAGCATTTCCCACAAACTAGAAGTTATTTACAGAAGAGCTGCACAGTAGGAGAACTCCAGCTGCATTTGTGTTTACCACTAGCACAAAAAGAAATGCATTTGGTGTGACTTCTACTCCTACCCTAACTGTTACTTTAGCCATTCCTCTTTCATCTGCAGTCCTCACTTCCCACCATGCCATAATGCATTAAATACATAAAGCCACAGTCTCTTAATACTATCTTCCCAAACCTCATTCAGATTTTCTGGCACACGTGAAGTCTTGATTTAGAAGAGGAGGTCGCATCTTTCCATACTTTGCAAGACAGCCCCTTGGCACAGTCACATCGTTGGAAAATCTCCAGTCCATGGGACCCTTTCTTGCGCTGTTTAGTGCACACCTCCCCCTGACGCAACACAGGCTTGCAAATTTTGGTCCAGAAATGACGAGCACAGCAGTGACCCTCAATACAGTCCGATGACCGTAGGCAGGAATCGCCTTCATGTCCTAAAAAAAAGCAACCAAACTGCTTTACCTCATGGGAAAACATCAAAGTGTGGCTTCAGCGCAGACTGATAAAAATGAAGCTCAGAAAAAAGGAGAGATTATATTTCCATCTGTGTCTATTTGAAGGATGTAAACACAAGGAAAGATATGAATCGGGAAGGTTCAAGAGGGTAATTAGCAAGACCTGCCATAACACTTTGTAAGAAGAAATTCAGCTACAGGATTGTAAGCGCAATTACATGACTCTCACAAGAGGAAGATGTGTGCAATCTCGTACAACTGAAAAATAGATTGTCAGTTCACCTCTGATATGGAGAAGAAATCAGATGCTATTTCAATCACAGGAACTGTTGGTTGATGTTACATCACTTTTTGAATTCTCACAACAGACATTCACTCTGTGAAATTACTGTCTATTTCTGGTTTGCACTGCTGTATCTTAACAGCAATAACATGACTGACAGAATCATTTAGGTTGGAAAAGACCTCTGAGATCATAAAGTCCAACCGTGAAACATTCATAACATGAAGGAACAAAGCAAATGTGATCTCACCTTTTATGTGTGACAGCTTGGAGCGTGGCCTTCCTAGGTTTTGCCATCCCAAATCCTTGCTGGCATAATGACCATTCTTCTTGTTGCGTGGCCCATCTAGAGCGGGTATGTGAGGTGTAAGGATGCTTTCTGTCACTGGTATGCAAATACCTGCCAGGAAAAGACAGACAGTCAAAGATTTGAACAAGAAGAAAAGCAAATGGGACACATACACAGACCAGGATTAGGCCCAAGGCCATGAGGATGCTGGGGCTTGGCCTCAGCGATGCTCAGCTCTAACTGCATCTCTGTCCCTAACCTCGGCACCTAACACATCACCACAGCTCTGCTTCACTTGCCTTCAGATAGTCTCACTTGTCCCTCTGGCTTTATGATCTGAGCACTTGGAGACTGCCTCATGGACATCTCTCTCCAGTGTTCAGAGAAGAGTATGGGAATGCAAGCAGTGTGGTTATAACCCCTTCAGGGAGAGTAGATCAAAGATTCACTAAGTCTCTTTTGCTTCCTTAAAAATACGGGTTCTGTACAGTCTTTCAGTGAATCAAGCCACATTGAATGTAGTGCTGTGATTTCAGTCAGCACCAGCAGTATTTTTGGGTTTCCCCACCCCAATATGGGAAAAATTCTGGTAGTAAACAAGTCTTAAACACAGAAACACTATTAAAGAAAATGGAGTGGAGCGGAATGAAGTAGAAAATAAATTTTTCTTGGTTTAGAAAAAGCAGAACAGTCACCCAGAAAAAAATACTGCTGCTGGGAACACTCAGAGAAGTAGATGCTATTGAAATGCTGATTTTGTGGAGGAAAACCAAGAAATGGCTGATGTACCATTGTTGCAGCGGTTCCCAGGGCAGCACATGCCGTCTCTGTGGCAACGCTTCTTCTTCCTCCGGCACATCATGCACGCGGACGCTGCTTGATGAGGACTGTGACAGTATCGCCCAACTTCGCATTCCTTATCATTGGTACAAGGATAGGCCTGGTGGGTAAAAGAAAGGTTTACAGTGTAACATTGCTTTGTACAAGATGTGTATGCAGGCCATTAAAAAAAAAACCAAACCAAACCAAAGCCTCCCCTAACAAAATAAAACAAAACCACCACTGAAACCCCCAAACAAAGAAACCAGCAGTTGAGATACCACTCACTGAGACCAGGAGACGCAGGTACGGATGCTTCACATATAGCAATCTTTAAGCTCATGCTTCTGGTGAAGATGTATCAGCTTAAAGAATCAAGGAGATACAACCAGCTCCCTGGTAGTTTCAGCTTTTCTAGCCTCAAACATATGTTGGCACAAGAAAACTCATATTCTTGTGGGTTCAGGCCTCTGATTCATAGACAAGAGCTTAAAATTCCACAGTGAAGAATAAACAGAGCCATAAAACTCATCTCAGTCAGTAAAAATCCTGAAACACACCCTGCAGTAGGTAACATTTTTATTTCAGCTCCAAGGAGGCATTTTCCTTTGATAGCTGTCAAACACACTGATGGATAATAAGTTCGCTGTTGTTACAGTGAGCATCTATACCATAGCAGTAGAAGATCCTCTGCACCTCTCCCCACTGGCCCACACCAGTTGGACTCCTTGGAAGGGAGCAAACATCACTGGCAGCACAGTGATAGCCTTTACTTTGATAACCCTTACTTCACTTATGGGCTTAGTATTCAATTTAAACTTGCCACCTGCTAAACAGTTCCCTATGGTACACAGCATCGAATATATTATAGAGCACAAACTGTCTTCCACATATAATTCTCTGCAGACAGAGACACACGTACACAATTTTCCTATATTCATCAAAATGAGCATTATCTTAGATTAAAAGTTACTTTTTTTTAAAAAAGGGTATGAAAGCACTGCTTTCTGCCACATAGAAAAAGACACGTCTATTCCTACAGCAGAAAAAGACATGATGCTAACGCATAGCAACACACACACACACTGCCACATTCCAAGATCCTTTCTGCTGACTCCCACACAGCTACAACTATGCCCTCTGTCTGCATCTAATTTTACTGCCTACTACATTAATCACAGATTTTTTTTTTCATTCCTCAAAATTATACTTGACGAATTTGTTTAGATAAAAGAATGAGAATAAATTTTGGGTACTTTCTGGAAAAATTTGTTTATACTTCCTCAAATAGTTTTGTCCAGTATTTTAAATAAACCAAAGTATTGCTTTTATTGTTTTCTAAATGAATCTTGCAATTAGTTATTCACCAAAACCAAAAAGCTCAAGTGAATAATTTTCAATGCAGGCTGATTACTTTTCTAATAGTATTTTTAAATCAAGGCTTGATTATATTTTTTTCAGAGAAGAAAAACTTGGAGGCTGTTGGGAAATTACTCTGTAAATTGTTCTTTTAGATGGAGAACTTCTTGTTTCCCTGTCTTTATGCTATTCTGTTGATAATCACAAAAGAAATAAGAGGTCTGGTAATAAAACCAGGCAAGTTTCTCTACTGCCATTAGTGGGAGAGATAACCATGTCATTTCATATATGATTTCATTAGCTGTTTTCTTTGTCAAAATTCACCTTACAGTACCAAAAGTACTGGCCGCATATTTCCCGAGTGCTGCTGTCCCATTACCTCTGCCCTCTAAATGTGTGTCTTTGAAGAATGATTGCAGAGCGCAGCTGTTTGGAGTAACCTGACGTATGTGTAAGTCTTTGTCCCTTAAGAATAAACATTTCCTCTTGAGTTCGTCCTCGAGAGGATGAACATCAAAGAAGTGCAGATCTTTTAGCCAGGAGTAGCAGTAAGAGGCAAATTCAAGTGCTCACCTGATTAGTGCTCTAAAGGTGTAAGTGGATTCTACATATTCTAGCAAAGCAGAACTAAAGTGCTCTCCCCTCAAACTCATCACTCCTTTCCCTCACCTTTCCAACAAGAAATCATTAACATTGACTTACAATTTATGATATGGTTACCATAAAAGGTTTCTCTGACTTAAATGAGACCTTACTAAACAAAGGATGTTCCAATGCATAAAAGCTATTTTATATAGACCTCTGTGCAGTTATACTGGAAAACACTAACACTGCTAGCAGGGGGAAATGCAAATAAAAAACACATGAACTAGCTAAAACCTGGAGATGAAGGCATTTTAGACCCTTGTCTGTCATCAGGACCTTCATAACCGCATCTTTTTTTCCAATATGGGCATGTGGTATACACCTGCAGCTTGTCAGCAAGAAGCCTACTTGCAGTTTTCTTCTGGCTCCTCAAATAGCTTTTTTTAAGAGTTCCCTGATCCTGAATGGTGCTAATGAGTCCTCTCACATACCATATCTAGTGGCTGTTTTACTTTTGGCTTTTAGGCTGAATGACATGTAGAAGACATTTTAAGATACGCATCCAACGGCTAACTCTCAGCTCTGTCTTTAAGTATAGTAAAAGTAACCAAAGACAAACTTGACATTAAAAATTGCGGAAGAAAGTGACATAATTCAGTCTTCAGTCTCACTCCAGAGCCCCATCCTTGATAAAATTGACACTTTTGAAATGAAAATATGCCAAAACATTCACTTACCAAAGACAAATGACTGCAGCACATCAAAAAGTAATTTTGTGTTACATGGAGCTCAGACAACAACTGGCAAAAGCATTAAAGTTCCCAAAAGCCCAGCTGCCAGCCAGCTATATCAAAACCCTCTGATGCCATCAACTGCCTTGATCTTTATTCCAAAACCACCATCCATTTGATATCCTAACTATCAATCACAGAGAGCTCGAAACAAAAATGCCTATATATCCTTGTGTCTGTCTCCTAGTCACTAGACATTCATTGGAATAACTCCTGCTCCCAGGAAAGTAATTTCTATCACTTTATTCAGTATTAAAACACAAAAATAAAACAACTTAATATAGTGTGTACATAGCCTTGGTTAACAGCAGGAAATGTGTTCATAATTGTCCCATTGTTGGCAGTAGCTGAGCCAATCTATGTATAAATATGTGGGGTTTTTTTAAATACAGAATAAAGGAATCAAACTTGTAAAAATGTACATGCTAAGAATTGTCTATGCATGAGTCAAGGTTTTCAAAAATCTCCTACACCACAGTGCCTGAGACACAGTCTTTACGTTTAGAGAATTGTAGAGAACATTTCCTATATACAACATAAAGACACAAATCAGTCCCAGATGGAGAGGGAAAAAGCAAGCTGTAAACCAGCTCTGCTTCCCCAGCAATGATAACTAATTCTACAAGGCACATCATCCCTTCACATTCTTCAGCTATACACATCATTTTCTGGTCGTAAATCTCTATCCACTAAACATAGCTTTGATATTATGGGAAACCAGATGAAACCGAGATAATATACGTAGCACTCCCTGAAGCTGCATTTAAGCAATCTTATTTAATTTTTTTTTAGCCCAGATTACAGGCGATCAAGTCACCCATAGCATGACATAAACTAGATTTGCTCGTGATAATGAGTCACATTTTCAGAATGCGTTATCTGATTAAGAGCATTGCTTGCTGAGACAGTTTCTCCTCAGTCATTCCAATTACTTCTCTATGCTTGTATAGAAGATACTGTTGAATGCACATCCAAAAATGTACAGCAAAGATGTACTGGATTTTTTGCAATGTTGCAGGATTCAGGCTAGATGTTTAAATGGACACTGCTCATGCTGTGCCAGAATGTCCCCTGCAGCAGCCAACCAGGACAAACCTTTGCCAGCCCGGTCATAGCAACATGTAAATCTTAAATTCTTTCTGAGAGAAAGAATATGAATCTCCATTCCTGTTCTTCCTGAACTTATATTCAAAATGCCAAGATTACATGATAGAAATACTCAGAGAAAACACTGCAGATAGTCTGGGGCATTTATAGTTGAACAAGTCCTTCCAGGAGTACTACTGAGGCCCTATTAACTTCACAGTGGCTGAGGAAGGGACTGACTATCTAAATTTTGTGACTAAGTGGCTAACATAATTCTCTTGATTTGAGGAGTGTGCAGGAGTGAGGTTTATTTCTACCTTTGTCTTCCCCTTTTGTCAGAGGAGATCTAACTTTGCACCTTTTCTTGGTGCAATGAGGTTTTCTTCATATTTTTGTTGGAGCCATTTACTGTCCCACATATTTTACATGGTCATCCAGAACCACAGATTTTCACCACAAGTTGGAGTTTGAGTCTCTCGGTCTGGCACTACAAAACATAATGGAGAAGCACTCCAGGGGAGAGTAAGACAGACACTGCAATGTGCTGAAGGCTGAGTGAGTAGATTGATGGCAAACACACTTTATTGACCTTTGGGAGATAAGGGCTTGAATTTCAGCATGGCCTCCAGCAAATATTTGAAGACAATATTCCCGGCCAGTGTCTTAGTCACCAAGCTCTCATTTGCTCATATTATGATGTGTCATTTGTTTTTATGCTGAAGCTACCCCACCCTGTACTAGCTAACTACAGTAGAGAAAAGCAGGAAGAGCCACTAGTGTTTTTACCTAGGCTGTGTCATCACTTATCCAGCACAAGCAGTATTAGACACTGCAGGCTGCAGACCCACCTGCAGTGCTGAGAGGAGCTGCACCTAAATAAGTAATTTGGTTGAACAGATATCAGTAGTGACTCCCTCAGTAGCAGTTAACTTTTTTTCTTTTTTTTAACCACATCATAAAGTCCAAGTGCAGAGATTGTCCCGGCAGGAGATCATGGTTACTATCACTCCCAGCAGAAGAAATGGTATGGAGGTAATTCATTATCCTTTTACTGTGGATGCTGAGCCGCACTCAAGAAGAAAACTAAAGTCTCATGTACCACACAAATGGCAATATCATTGTGGTTACTGTACTGGACACTTGGCCAGCTTCTGTCTCATACAATCATCCTGTGATGGTACTGGGGACTGACTGGAGAACAGGACAAAATCCACAGCCAGTTGTACAGCCAGAAGGTAAGAGTACTGTAGAGCTACCAGGTCAACCTTCATCACTTACCTGGCAAAGAGGCAATAGCTATTGC